CTTTGTAAGTTCTGCTTTGGAATCAGAGTCTGCTTAGAAACCCATCATTCTTGACACCATTAACACCTGCAAGATGGAATGGTTTACTCTGAGATTCCGACATTGTACGTGGCACTGTCTCCACCACCTCTGCATACATTTCTGTAGGTTTTAGATTACACTTGTGTGCAGCACGATGGAAATGATCATTTACAGATCCATCCATTCTCAGTGACATGAGTATTGCATCTCCTGCAATAATAACGTTACCATACCTCCCATTGCCAAAAGATATAGTGGCAATTCTAGCTCCTAGCTAGGAAATTGATATGAAACACTATTTCGAAGCCTAAATATATAGAATAAATATATAGAACACTGATGTCATCAACTATATTGCTCCTAAGGAAAGACTACCACGTATGTTGTTATACGTCTAACCAACCTTGATTCTCAAGTACTCGCACCGGATTCGCCGATTGACTGAGACTTTCGTATTAACGGATGATTTGTCAACTATTCCGCTTAATTGTTTCCAACGGTTTAACATAACGTGTTGTCTGTAAGTGTGCATTTGGTTGATACAAATAAACTCGTGACAGCATGGTATATTTTACGATGTGAATTGAAAAGAACGGAAAACAGGCCAGCTCGCTCTTGAAGTTTGTATGTTGTCAATGCAGGGCTGAACGGATCTCCTGGGAAGCGACAACCTCAACTAACGCGAAAAAGAGTGGGACGATTTTACCGTTTTCTGATTGGGGTTAACATTATTCCCTAGTATTAAGATAAAAATACTGCAAGTTCATCATGTTGATTTACAACTCCATTGGCGACATACTCACTCAGAGAATATTTGATGGCACCGAATTTAATTAAACCAACTTGTATCATTATTTCTTTGATATAATAAACAAGATATGAGTAATAACAGAAGGTAGTAAACAATTTTTCCGACAGACTCTCAAAGCTCTAATATTCTCATACATCACAGAACAACATTACACATATTCCTGCGTTGACCATTTATTTAATATACCACTATTACATTAGATTATATTTAGCACATAAACCCATTACCGTAAGTTATATTAGACGATTAACTATGACTAGTAGTATAAGTATCTATATTAGCACAATTCAACCTCAGAATGTGACACATATTTTACTATAACATAATCAGTAATGATTTCGATATAGAGCCATGCATTTCCTGAAAAAAAACGGTACGCCGCTAACATGCTATGAAAACGAGTCCATTAAACCATTAAAATTGTCCTTGATTTCCAATATACGGTTAGTCACACCTGTAATACAAAGAATAATGCAGAAAATAAAATATACTGAAGTGATAATCGATGGTGTGGATGACTCTAATATTTGAACAAAGGAAACAACAACAACTGCTCCGTCATTCAACTCTACACTTTATTGTAGTTATGGATATACTATTACTGTAATTTGTGACTCAGTGTCACAAATAAACTTCGTTGTGTGTCATGTAAATGTAAACAAAGGCATTCTGGGTAATCAATCATTGTGAAGGCTTACACGAACAATTATATTTTATATGCAGATGAGTAGACTATTCTATTAACATATTGTATTGTCGTCAATTTATATTAATGTCAAAGAATATTCAAAACAGTGCACGAGATTTAAATCCAAAGTGCGTTCGAATCGAATTATGAAGTTCGCTCAATTTCATATATAATTTCATAATAATTATCTTTTTGAGATTTAGCTCAGTTTACCGACATCTATCTATTTTATATCACATCACATTTTCGTGTACTACGAACACAGGAAATAGTTGGATGTATGTCTATTTGATAATTTAATTAGCCGCAAGTCGGCCATATTTGATTAAATGGAAGACAAAAATGACGTTCGTAATAAAGTTTGAAAGGAATTAGATTTATACTTACTCAATTCCTGGTACTTTCCAACTCTCGCCAAATTCAACAGCGTCATTAGCCATAGTACCATCGGGCTTTTGAAAGTCATCATGGCTATCACCATTGTAATTACCCAATAACCCACGCAGCTTGTCTTCATAATCAAGACCAGATATATCAATACTGAATATATGTCTTCGTAATGTCCAATCAATCTTGAAAGTGGTATCTTTAAGTGTGAAACTTAGTAAAATGTTTTTATCAGTTTGAATGATATGTATCTTGGACGCTGCTCCCTTTGCATGTTTCTATAATAAAGTAGACAATTGTGTAATTAATGGAGGAATAATGTTGTAGTATATATTTATTAATCATAATAATTTGTTAATTACAAAGACAGAAAACAAATAATGCTTTGAATTGTTCCAAGTTACTTACAGAAACTACGTCAAGTCTGTCCACTTCAACACAGTCATCTCCTACTGTAATATTTAGAGCTACCGCCCGGGTTTTTATTTCACCATTTGGATGATCTTCTCGTGGTTCAAACCTAGCAGTGATTTCGAAATCTGGTTTGGGCTTGGAGCTATCTTTCACCAGGGTGTACCAGCAGACGCCTTGATGGCTGTAATGACGACCATCCAGTGTGGTGAAATGAGGATCACATGTAACAGCGCCACCTGTTGAAAAGTTGAATAAAGATCATAACAATGAATTTGGCAGCATGGCAACATTAATTTATATAAGGTGATAGTTTACAACAAGACGCTTGACTAAATCACGTACCATGAAGGACGCTATAATTGGTGTCATTTGGATCATACACATGTTATTAAATTATGATTTATAATCTAAGAATTGTAGTTAGTATCCATTGTGGACATGATGCAAAATGCATGCGGTGTAGGGTAGTGTTTATTTGTAATTGTATAATATTATTTCATTGTTTTAATCATACAATACTTACTACATATATCCACATCTCTGATTTTCTCAGTACCCTGCAGCAAAAGGGTTGAAATGTCCCATGAATAAATATTGCCATAGTCAAGCTTATTTTTAATTTCTTGGTTTGTAAGCACACGATCCCACAAGTTGAATTTCGTCATTTTGCCAACAAACGCTTGAAATGGGTGAAAACCTCCACCAACGTTGTCTTGATCTTGACCCAGCACTAGAACACCACCTCCCTGAATCGGTGTTCCTTGGGAAACTGTACCATATCCAACTAACACTCCATCTACGAATATTTGCCATCGACCTGTAACTGAAGTCCATGTCAAACAGATATAGTGGCACACACCATCATTGACAGCAACGCCAGTTGTCGATCTATAAATACCATTGATGAGTAATCTCAAATAACCATAATCATACAAAATCATCTCGTTGTCAGTACCAGGTACTGCGTAAGAAACTAGGGTACCGTCATTGGTGCTAGTTGACTTCATCCATAGACAGAAAGTGACTTCAGTCAATGATGGCACAGGCGTAGTAATTCTTACATTAGAGTCTGTGTCGTTATAACATATTAGACTTGCTGAAATGTAAACAAAATAGTTTAGGCTTTGAAATG